TGCCAATTTACAGAAAATTTCCTAAACTGCAAAATAAAAGTGAAAGATGTCCTATCAACACATTAAAAGTTAAAGATTCTTCACGAATTCCCCAGACCACATTACTTGCATGAAAATAATAGTGTCAGTAGAAATACTGCAAAGATAAGTTATTTTGATACTTCAAGAGATATATGCTAACACCTAACTTCTAACTGAACACCATACAAATTACTCTGGCTAAGATTGTCCAGATTTGCAGTTTTTCACATAAAAAAGCTTCAGAAAAGATTACTTTTTCTGTTTTTGAATCACCAGTTATAAAAAATGTTAGGATAAAAATACCATTGAAAGCATTCTTAGTGCTTATAGTCTGAATAGAGGTGATTTTAAATGTAAGCCATTTAAAAGGTGAATTACTGTAGGTTGTTAAAAGTAGAATGGAGGTGGGGGATGTAACTACATTTTTATTATATATTATCCAGAAGACTTAAGATGAAGATAAAAAATTCTGAAATGTGAGTAATGAGAATACTAATGGTGAGATAATTTTTGAAAGGGTGTAGGAAACCTATCTACTCAGAAGTCATGTGCTATAAAAAAATTCGAATCATGCATAATGTGTTTTTAGTATTCAGTTAATAGTTATGACTAGATTATATGATTAATCATGCAAGATGAGTTAAATCAAGAGAATATAGATTCCAACTACAAGGATATGTTGGGTTTCCAATCACTGGCAGATATAGGAGGGCAAGACTGAGGCAATGATATTTTCTGGCTGCTATCCCAATTGCTTCACATGTATGTCAACATTAAGTTAGATGTCTGGGGACAGTGTACAACTTGTTTTGAATTAAAGCCAAGGATGAGAATAGATATGGCTACAGCAAAAACACAGAGATAATGTTTAGTTTATGCAGTGACTCTACAATATTTCCAGTGTCTGTGAACCCTTTTTTCAATACAATATCAATGATATTGTTAAACAAAATGATAATCATCTACTTTTGTTAAATTTTCATTTATTAATGAGAATCAGCTTCATTATCAGAATAGTTTGAACAATCCTGTTCTACCTTTGGAAACATCTATTTGCCAAAATTGAAAAATGGGAATTCAACAAAGACAAGTTGAATTCCAGGGATATGCTATCTCCACATGGAGGGTGTGGATCTATTTCTATAAAGTCTAAGTGCTATTCCACTCCATGTTTAGGACTAATTCTAAAGAATTTCTTCTGGTTTGTGCCATTAATCTCCCATTTTTCTAGCCTGATGACTTACTTAAGAAAAATTACTTCTGGTCATCCATAGCTGAGGGGACATTTGAAGAAGTAAAATGTTGGTTGGTGTCTGTATCCATTCTTTCATATCCTGATTCCACAGAAATAATTCACTATGTAAACCAGTGCTTATCTGAATGGTGACAGAGACCTTGCTTTCTCAGCCCATTTTAGATCTAGCTTTTTCATCCCTTTACAACTCCTGAAAACCCAGACAAATAAAATTGCATAGTCTGGAAAAAGGAGTCCAAAGACTATAATGTGGAACAATGGAAAGTGTTGAATTTGGAATCACAGTCCCTGGGTTCTAATCCCATCTCAAGGTGGATGTCTCATAGTCACACACATCCATAACAAAGCTCATTATCCCTCCTCCCACACTTTTCTCTTTTGAATTTTCCTGTTACTTTTGAGGGGATTGCTGTCCTCCCATTCACTCAGGATTACAACCTTACTGTCATACTTAACTTTCCTGTCTTTCTCACCCCATATATCCAATCAGTTACCTAATCTTATAATTTATTTTTCTGCAACATCTTTCATGTATGTCCCTTTCTTTCCTCTCACTTAACCAGCGCCATATTTCAGGCCCTTATCACCTCATAACTGGACTGTTGCAGTAGTCTTCTATTTAATTTCCTAATGTCAAGTCTCTCCTCACTCTAATTTATATTCCACTCAGCTGCCAAAACGATTTCCCTAAAGTCTAGCTCTGACCACCACACTCCTACATTCATTAAACTCTAGTGGTTCCCCATTATCTCCAGGACCGAATATAAAGTCCTTTGGCATGCAAAATGCCTCATAACTTGACCCTTTTTTTACACCCTTCCATGCACTCTTTGATCCAGCTGCATCAGACCACTCGATGTTCCTGAAAACTGATTCTCTATCTCCTGATTTCATGACTTTGCGCTGACTGTTCCCTATCTCTGGGATGCAAACCCTGCCAATGCAACTCTGACCTGGTTATCCTCATCTCCTTCCCAAGTTAATCTTGGACTCTTCCCCTGGAACTACCCTAGGCTCTGATAGGTGACCTTTCCATTATACATTACCCAGAACCAGGCCCCCATTAATGTTTCATGAACATTAGCACCAAACTATTCCATAGCACCCCAAGCCCCTTTCCATCTCCTTTCTATGAATTGTCTTCCCCTGTTAGAATGTAAGCTCCTTGAGGGCAGAGACTGTTCTTGTTTGCTTATCTTTATACCCCCAACACTTCACACTGTTCTTGGCACCTAGGAAGCACTTGATGAATGCTTTATTTATCAATCCATTCATCCATCCATCTTACAATTCCTGATATCCTTTAACATTCAAGTCAAGTGCCTCCAGGAGGCTGTGGCTAGTACCATACCCTCTCAGGTTATCTTCCTTGTGTTCTGTAGTAATCGTTTATGTTCTGATTTACAAATGTCATCTGCCTTATTAGAATGTAAGGTCCTTGAGGGAAGGCCCTACTTTTGTTTTCAGTCAGTATCCCTGCACATAGCATAGTGTTTAACATATAGTAAATGCTTAATACATGCTAGTTGATTGATTGATTGAAATAACCAACAAACTGGATAAAAGAATCAGGATACAAAATTTTTTTGATGGGACACTGAAGTGAACTAAAAAAGATGAAGTTTAAGAAGAATATATGTAAAATCTTAGATTTGGGAAAACATTATTAGGCTATAGTTTGTATGAAAAAAAAAAACAAACCTGGGGGTTTTAGTGGATTGCAAGAACATTGTATGACTGCCAAGAAAGCCAACACGACCTTGGACTACACTGCAGGAGATTCCGTGTCAGATAGTCCTGCTCTGTGCTACCCTAGTCAGACTGCATGTGGGGTGTGGTGTTCAGTTTTAGATATCTTATTTTAGGAAGGACATTGATATGCCAGAGAATATTCAGAGGAGGAGGATGAAGGATCTTGAGTTCAAGACATATTGATACTGCTTGAGGGACTAGAGATAGTTAATCTACAGAAGAGAAGTCTTGAGGGGATAGATAAGTCTTCAAATATTTAAAAAAGCTGTCATGTTAAATAATAACAAGCTTTGTAAATCAATTTGAGGTTTGCAAAGTGCTTTACAAGGATTATCCCATTTGACTCTTACAACAGACCTTTGACAGATGAGGAAACTCATCTGAGAGGGGTTAAGTGACTTGCTGGGGGTCACAGAGCTTTAAGTGTCTGAGGCAGGATTCAGACTCTGGGCTTTTCAGTTTTCAGTTGAACACTCTTTGTACTGCCCCCCCTTAACTGCTTCTGATCTTAGAGATGGACTTGACTTGTCCAATTTTGACCTAGGTGACAGAAGTAGGACTAAAGGTTGGAGGTCAAAGAGTGGCAAATTTAAGGTTAATGTAAAGGAAATTTTTCTCATAAAGAGCATCCGAAAGTGGAACGAGCTGACCTGGGAGGTCGTGGCTTCCCTTATACTGGAGCCCTTCAAACAAAGGCCGTGTCACCACTTGTTTGGTGAGTCATGGTGGAGTTCTTTTTTGGGGACTGGGGTGGAGTTATAGTCTGAACTAGTTGGTCAGTAAGTTTTTTTTCCCTAGCTCTGAAATTCTGTGATTGTTTGATACTTTAGACATCTTTTAAGAAGGAGGATGAAATTAGGCCTGTGACCGCATCAAGAAAGGGAGTGATGGGACTAAGGGTAGGGCCTGGAAAACCTAACTCGTCTCAGTTGCACAATCTCAGAGTTAACTGCTTGTTTCTCCTTTGCTGCTCAGTGATTGTGTATGTTTCACCCGTCGCTCATTCATGGAACTGTCTGCTATGTGGTTCTTGACCTTGGCATTCCTGGCACTCCCTTTTCCAAACACCTAACTCTTGGGTGCCCTGTGAATGAACCAGCAATGAGACTTTGACCTTGCTTGCTACCTGTTTGATGCTGCTTGAGTTCGTTTTATCTCTCAGCAGACATAGGTTCAGTAGTGTCTTATCAGCCCCGTCTTATGGGGCTCCTATGTCTGGGAGCTGTTAACCCTGCAGTTCTCTTTGCTCCTCACCCTTTGGTGTCCTTCAAGTCTCAGGCTTCCTGTGCAACAAGGCAGCAACAGACTACTTAACACATTAAATTGCCCCTGTCATTTAACACCCTGCTGTTTAAAAGGAATTAACATAGATAAGTTCATATCAGGTCACCCCAGATGATCATTTAATCTAGCTAAATTATTATTATGACCACGTGTTTATTTCTTAGGCTAGTTTATATGAATAAAGACTTGATTGGATTAGCTAATTATGTTAAGATTATTTGTACCTGAGACAAATACTTAATGCATATAAATTCTAACTTTTGAATTAATACCAAACTACAATGCATCTCTAATTCTTTTAAACAATATATGCCAAATAATTCTGTTTGTCAAGGTAAACTTATTTTGACTTTCCTTTATATTCATAATTTTTAAAGTTTTTAGTTATGTAGACTCTAAGGAAACTTGGAGATCATGTCTTCTAGCCTCCCTCATTTACAGTTCAATAAACTGATTCCTATTGTGGTTTAATGAAGTTGTTTAAGGTCTCTTAAGGTCTCTTATGGCAGAGCCATTTTTCTCCAAGAAATATCTCTTTATTGTCTTTGAGTTTATTTTTTAGATTTTTCTAATTAATAAAGTAATATTGATAACATGTGACAGTATGTAATATTTGTATTCCCAATTAAAACTGATTTTTTTAACGATTCATTTAAACTAATTTTAATGTGTTCTTTGGCATTGACAGATTAGAGAAAGGCCTCAAGATTCATGGAAGATGAATAAGGAATCAGCTTCTTTCCTGTCAAAAGTAGAAAGAAGAAGTAAATTATTAGTTACGGTGAGATAACTCTATGAAAATTAAATCTGTTTGTAACCTAAGAGGTTGAGAGAAGGTGGTATATATACTTCTGGGCATTATTTTGGACCTACAGACCCTTCTTTGAATCTACTGGTTTCTTTGATATTTGCATATTTCTTTAAGATTATAAAGAACTGTCCATTCTTCTGAAGCCCAATATAAATTCATTACATGCTCTCTGAGAGAATTGTACATGATAGAAGGGAATCTCCTCTTCTTTCCATGATAAGGAATCAGATATGCCTGGGACAGAGGGAGGATTGAACTAGTGTAAGAATGGAAAGACTTAAAATTCAATTCAAATTACCCCCTAAGATTGAATTTCTTCAATTTTCTTTTTATATGTATCTATAATTCCAGTGGTTCTCAGTATTTTTATATCTCTTTTTCTATGAAACTTTAAAAAAAGATGTTAACATTTTTGACTAGATAAATATTCATTTTTAGCCATCTACCTAATATTGAGTAATTTATAGTGGATGAAGCATGAAAAAAGAATAGTAATGATTTTGGTTTCTTTCCATTCCATTTATTTTAAGGACAGGATAGATAGAAACAATAATGTTACTACATCCTATCCTTTCTGAGGTGGGAGACAGTGGTACAATGTGGTATAAACTTCAAACATAACTGAAGTTTTATGAAATAGTGGTTGTGTTTCTGTGTTTTGTTGAGACTGGGTTTATACTCTATTCATTTGACACTTTTAATTATCACTACACATAAGTTATACTTAACAGTAAAAAAATAAAATAGGGTCACTGTTGTGAAACATGATTCAGGAAAGGCTCTTCCTGTTAAAGTGGCTTCTGCTCTAAACTCATATCTGGGGTTTAAACTGAGGATGACCTGATCCCAAAGAGATGGGAATCAGGCTTCCCTTACTCCCTCCAGCTAGTTTTGTCCTGACTCCAGATTAAAACTCTAGGGGAAAGTCTCTAAAACAAAGCTTAGGTACGGTTTGTGTCTAAGTTCTCCCTGAAAATGGAAGGAACAGAGGATAACAGAGTTATCAGAGGAAGGGCGCTTCTGGGAAGGACATTCAATATACAGACAGGCATCAGGTATAGGGATGTTATTTATTTCCTCCTCACACAACAGACTCATAAACACACATTAATAAATATAATATATACATATTAATAAATATAGAAACAAAACAATTACTTAGCATATGCATTATACTTTCTTCAAAGGTGTTTTGTGCTGAACCAGACATTCCTCTTTCACTTCAAACTTGTGATACCTGAGCAATTCATAAGGTTCACATTTCCTGACCATGCAAGTGTATCTCTTTAGTCATTTCAGGGTCCTCTTGGGGGTCGGCTCCTTCTCTTTGAAACAGGAATCACCTCCCAATGGGCACTCAGCGTTGACTGCCCCGATGCAGGTACATGGGAACACAGGAGCTCATGAGGTAGATGCTAAGACTCAGAATACTTGTTCCGCAGGGTCGCTGTTTGCAGACCTGGACTCAAGGAGGAAACACAAAGGGCAAGAAGAAGGTAGCATGGGACTCGAACTAACGAGGCAGGCACACGATTCCACTGTGTGGTGCTTGAGCTGTGGGGTCCACGACAGAAACCCCTTCACTCTCATACTGGAAATTCAAGTCAGAGCTGGCAGAATCTCAAGGTCTTGTGCTTGTATTGAAAGGGAGAGCCTTTCGTTAGCTCTTTTTATGTCGCACAGAGTGAGTGGTTTTCTTGGTTCAGTCACTGATCACTGAATAATGGAGACTGAGGCACCAACCAAGAATCGTTATGTTGCACGTGACCTTTAGCTCGGGGCCGGAGCCTGACTCCTACAGAGGGAGCCTCGCACGTGCCTCTCAGTAGGGGTTGGGCACCGGGGACGTAGGGGAAGGCACTTCCTCGTCTTTGGGTCAGAAACCGAACTGTCCTGCGTGAAAATTTCTCCCATGATCGCTTTGGGCGTGTAGAAAACACACTTCTCCGGTGGATTCCTGACAGTACATGTGGCAATCCACATGGAGTTGCAGGTAAAAATGATCTCTCCAGTAGGATCCTGGAAAATTGCGGGATGTTTCGAATGGAGGTTCACTTGTCGGTACAGCAAGCAGGCTAACCCAGAAAGAAAGAAAACAAACTCCGATGAGTCCTGAAAATGTGTGGGCATCCCCAAAAGGAATTAAGCCCTTGGAGTTTATTCTGATCATTCTTGAGCATCCTGGACTAGCCTCCAAGATGTGCCTTTCGGCCAAAGGGACTCCTCTCCCGCAATGGACTTTGGCGCTGCCATTATGCAGTTACACGCTCATCCCACGGTAGAACTCCGGGTAAAATCTCCAAGGCAGAGCTTTAGCTTGGCTTATGTCTAGGGTCTTCCCTAAAGGTATTGGCTGGCTCCCTGCTAGGAAGGGTACTCAACGTCTAACCATAATGCCCAATATGAAAGTAATGTTTGTTGCAAAAAAACAAAAACACTCCTCCAGTGCCCTCTACCCAAAAGCCTTCAAAAACAAACCAACAGTTGCTTTATGGTAATTGAAGTCAAATTTGGCAAAAAATAATTTAAATGCAAACAAAAAGAAAACTTTAGATGAACTATTGAGGAATGATCCGAATTTACAGTCCAGTATGGTTACCGGATTGGTAACCATTATTGATAATCATTTACCTTGTTTTATTCAAAGATTGGCAGACCATAAGTTTAATAGGGAGGATTACAAATAACACTATGCTCTGTAAAACCTTTTTGCAATAGTTTTAAAGTAATTATATATATTTTGCAGGGATGGAAAAGCCAGGAGCTATGTAATAGGAAGTTTGTCTTTAGTTATTTTTTCTGCTGTAATTACCCTAGGATACCTTTCACTCCATTGTCTTCTCAATATTAGTCTATGCCTTTTCCCCCTTTCTCTCCATCCCTCTCTATCTTTCCCTTTTCTACCCTTTTCTCTATTTAATTTCCCCAGTTTTAATGTGAATGATGCAGAATGGACCCTATTTGTATAATCTTATTTATATTATCTGTGTTCCTTTGACATGTGACCAATGTATATTTACATATGCACATTTTAGGTGGTACTAAAAGAACTTTACTAAAGGTTGCTACCTTTTAAAAGTTATGTGATCTCATATATCTCTTTCCTAGACACTAATGTCACAGTGACTTTTCTCCTTCTAAAAATTCCCAACTGAAGGGCCTCAGTATTTACTTAGTATGTAATGATGACCATATGCTTAGAAATTTAGGCTTCTGGTCTTGTTAAATCGATGACTGCATTAAGTGTGCCAGTGGCAGCAGATTTCTGTAAATGAGTATAATTCTGCAGGCAGTCTTATCTTAGAATCTAGAACAAGAAGGGACCTGACCACCTTATCCAGTGCAGTCCCTTCATTTTGTGAATGTGGAAGCCAGTGTCCGGAGAGGTGCCTTGCCTGGGCTCACCTAGCTGCAGTCTGAACCCAGGTCTTCCATTTGCAAAATGTAGTGCTTTTTCCATTCCACTCATTGCCTTAGAGAATAGTTGTGAGAAGAGTGCTTTGTGAATCTTAAAGGGCTGTACCATTTTTAAATACCTCTGAATACAGAGATGAATTATTAGAATATTTTTAAAAATTGCTATGTACAGTTTATTTCTGAGTATTTCAAGTGAGGAGGTTAATCATTTTATGTCACGATTTGTCTAGTCATGTTTCACTCACAAATCATCAAGAAAGCAGCTTTAGCATTATTTATAACAGCATTTAAACATAGAAGGGATGTATTTAGTGACATTGATATCAGAGAAGCTTGGAGCTTTAATGATTAAGTTAAGTTAAGGTGCTGTATCCTTTATCCCACATTTCCTTCATTCTACCTCACCCCCACGTGCCACTTATCAGCTCCTAAACAAAAACTGCTAGATATAAAAGCGAGTATCATATTTCAAGTTGCTTAATTTCAAGAATGACTTAGTATGTATGTGTCTGTGTGAGTGTGTCTGTGTATCTCTCAGTGTGTGTGTGTGTGTGTGTGTGCGTGTATACAAAACACAGAGGGAGGAGGTTTTGGCTAAACCCACAGCATCTATTCACCCACCTGTTTTTGTTCTGTACCCTATCATGTCATTTGAACCAAGCTCAGTCCCATGCCACCTGTCCTAGCTGTTGATGGGCACTCTCTTATATTCATTGAATCGTTATACCTCTCCCACTCTGGTGGCCCAGGGAAGATACTAATTATAGTAAAAAATATGTCACATGAGTCAGAGGTTCCAAACTAAAAGGAGAAAGTAACAAAGGTACTCAGTGTGAACTGTGAATTAGATGTGGGACAGATCATTTATTCTTAGTCACAAAAAGGAATAGTAAATATAATAGAATTGTAGTGTATATTATTAGAATGATTAGAACAGATTTCAGTTAATTAACGTTTAACTGCTGGTTCACTCAGTTGGGAGGTGAACATTTAAGCCTCATTAGGGCAATAAAGCCTTTTTGAAATACTGCTAAACATGTTTTATATTTTATCTAGACACAGTTCTGTCTGATTAGACTTTGGCCATTCTTCTTTCTCTTGGTTGCCACGAGATACAGAAGCTCCAGCCTACTTCTGTTGCTGCTGCATCTGCAGTCAACTTTTGGTGGATTGTAATTTGCTTGCCATGCCGTATTTACAGACCTCTGGGTTTTTCACGCTCACAAGGTCATTTGCTCAATAAATGAAGCTCAAGAGAGGAAAAGACTACCAGTGACTCTGGAGCCATATTCTGGGGTTTTGGACTCCTGCTGCAACTGCCGTGGGGGAAGATAGAGAGGGATCCTTTTCTTCTCACCCCTTGTTGAAGTCACATCATGCTACCTGAGGACTGCAACTGAGAGGGCTCAGTCAGAAGCTGTCATTCTATTATTAACCTTGCTCATATTTTAGTGACAAAATGGAGGCCATTTGTGGAGGGCTCCCTCTTCTCCCCTTCTCTTCATCTCACATCACTCAGATGCTTTCCTCCATTATCTGCTCCTTCAACCCTG